GCAGCGGAGCCGCCTCCGCTACTGCCCCGGCGGCGCGTGGAGCCGCTCGGAGCCCGCGGGCCCGTCCCGCTGCAGCCCCGGGCCCGGCGGTCGCGCCGCTCGCGGTGGCCTGCGGCCGGCGGGCGCCCCGCGATTCCGGGGCCCCTCCGCTCCGGCCCACTCGGGGCGCCCTCCTGGGGCGACGCAGCGGCTGGCCCTCGCCTGGGCGCGTGCCGAGCCTTCTGCCCCGCCGGGCAGCCTTTGCCCCTGGGGCGGGGGCGCTGCGGACCCTGCGAGAAGGTGCCCGCGGAGGAGCGCAGGGGCTCCTCTGGGTGCAGTTCCCAGCTCGGTAAATAATGAGCAAACTCGTAATAAAATAGTTGCTTTTATTTCTTAGCAAAACTAGTGATTCCACGTGCTATTTACAACAGGCCAAACATGTTTTATTTCAAGTACGACAAATGGTCAGGACATGGAAACAATTTTATTTGTACAGGACTGGACGTCACAAAGCGAAGAAACTCGCACACTTTGGGACGGATGTCAGTGGGAAAAAGTTGACCATGCGCAAAGAGCTGCCCTTCCGCTCCCCACTCACCCTTCGGGGTCCCCCCCCAGCGACGTTGTGACCTTATGGGCCATGCTCAGAGCCCCCCGCCCTCCCTCCCGCGTCCTCGTTTCTGAGTGTGGAATGCGACTGTGGGGTTTGTGGCACCCTAAACGCGCGTGCAGCCAGGCTGTCAGTGGAGAGGAGGTGGCAGGAACCTTCCACCTGCCCGCTGGGGATGGACTCCCTCCTTTTCTGCTCTGCCCCTGGTGGGCAGCTAGATCGAGAAGAGACGGGGGTACGTAGGAAGCAGCGCCTGCCTTCCCGCCTTCCCTCCCCGTCTGGGAATGGGCCTTGGCTGGGAAGAGGGACCGAAGAGCCAGGCCTGGAGCAACACAATCTTTAACACTCCTCCCGCAGGACTGGGACACACGCAGCCCTTCTTCCCTGTTTCAGGAATCGGCAATGGGGGCTGAAGAACCTGTCCCAGGAGTGGACCGCTTGTTTTATCCCTTAAAAGGGTTTTAAAATGCACCTTTGCCTCTAGCTCAGTTCTTCCCGCCCCTTCGTTCTCTTGGCGGTGCAGGTGGAGGATACTAACGTGGGTCACGGAAGAGGGCCGCTCCCCTCTTCGGGATGCTCAAGAGGAAAGGCCCTGCCGGGGATTCCTTAGGTCAGCAGTGGGCATAAGGCCGATCTCTGCTGAACTCCCAGCTTTGCGAACCATGGCTCGTACTGGCTGGGGCTGATGGGATTTGGAGTCCCAGACATGCCGCGATCTACCTTCTGCCCACCCCTTCCTCAGCTAAGTTTGAACGTCCACGTGCTTGTTTGGAGCAGGATTGAGGCCAGCATGAGGAAGTTCTTCATTGTCTTCTGGGTTCCTCATCGCCACCTGTGACGTTTCCATCGCGCTGGCACAGCATGGATGGGCAGCGCTCGGCGGCCTGGTCCTTCAGACCCTAATCTGGACGTGTGCTTCGGGCACACCTGTTCCCGAGCCTGCCTGGGCCAGCTTGGCGCCTACGGAGGGGTGGACTATTTGCCCTTCGCAGCACAGAGGGTGTGAGGCCAGCCGTCCCTAGCGGTGCGGGGTTTTTGCCACGCTTGGCACAACCATCCTGATTCGGCTGGAACGAAGAGCGCTGGCTGGCCCACGCTGGCGGCAGGATCAGACCCTTCAGGGAACTTCTTGGGTTTCAAACTCGCTTACCATGTGAGCTCCAAACGGCCCAGGGAAACCAGCCGAGGGCGGCCTGGGGAGGACAAATGGGGCGGACATGGGAGGCCTGCTGGGGGCCCTTCTTCGCACTGATTGCTTGAGCACGCGGCTCCTTTTCTTGCGCACTCTGCCTTGGTGCCCCCACCCTGGTTTCCCATAACATTGTGGTTTCTGGGGTTGTAGCAGGAGGAGCAGAGGGAGGTTAGGGTGACAGGGGGGGGGGGGATCTTGATGGGACCCTTGCCTGGGAAGGCAGAAGGGGCGGGCTGAGCGTGTGTGCCAGGCTGCCGTGCAAGGACCGGTTGCTATCGCACTTCCCCACAGCTGCGGTCGCCAGCAGGCAAGAGAGCACCTGTCCGGCACGCACACGTGCTCACTTTTCACAGCTTGCTGGGACAGCCGTGAGGTTTAGGGTAGCCACCTGGGGTCCGGGGGAGGTGGGTGCTGGAGGACTTTCTTTCCTGATGGTGAGGAAGCGGCAGGGCTGTGCCGGGACATCCTCCGTGGAGGCCTTTCGCTGGGCGGGGGAGCTTCGTTCACCTGACTCATGCAAGAACCCGAATTCATGTCAGAAATACTGTGGGTGGCCAAGTTTCTCTGGGTGGGGAAGGAGTGGGAGGGGAGGCAGCGCCTGCCACATTCACTGGAACGCTTTGGGATGCTTCATCAGCACACTCTCGATGTAGTTCTCCAGTTCCTCGTCGTGCTCCTGGCCGGCATCGTATGATTCCCCTCGTGGCACCATGGGGCCAGGCAGGTGGCGGAGGTGGTGGTAGACCGGGGCCTGGAAAGTCCGGGGACTGATGTAGTTGGAGATCTTGCTGGGGCTGTGGCCGGGCTTGGCTCGGTACCACTTGGGGGCTGGGTACTCGCTGCCTTCCAGGACTTCGTTCCACGAGGCCTCGCTCTGCTTGGGGAGGTGGCGGTAGGGCTGGTGGGCAGGGGGGTAATAGGGCTTTGGCAGGGGCCTTGGGGCTTGGGGTGGGGCCTTCTTCAGCTTGTGGCGCGACGGGGCCGCCGGCGTCTTGCTCTTGCCACTGAGCTCGGGCACCTCCTCCTTCTTCTTCTTCTCAACATCGTTGATGATGTCGATGACGTCGTCCGCCGGCAGGTGCAGCTTGCTGGAGAGCTCGATGAGGCGGTCGATCGTGTTGGGGTCGATGTCGTCGTCGTCCTCCTCCTCCTCCTCAGGCGCCTCGTTGGAGCGCTTGTCCTCGGCCACGTTGCCTTCCTCGTCCTCGAAGAGGAGGGGGCTCCCCCTGGGGCCCTCTTCCTCAGACTCCTCCTGGGCGTTGGCCCCTGGCTGCCCGTCCTCCTCCTCCTCCTCCCCGTCCTTCAGCAGGTACTGGAGGAGCAGGTCTGAGGCCATGTCTGCCAGCCGCTCCTCCTCTGCCGCGGCCCGGCGGGCCTCTTCCGCCTGCCTCCTGCTCTCGGCCAGCTCTTCGTAGCGCCGCTGCAGGAGCTGGTGCTCCAGGTGCTGCTGCTGCCTCAGCTTCCGGGCGCCTGCCCAGGGCTCGCTGGCAGCGGGGGCCTTCCGCTTGGAGCTCACCTTCAGCTGCGCGTACTCTTCCAGCTCCTGGAGCACCTCGTCGTGGGGGCTCTCCTGGGGCTTTTTCTGGTAGGCCTGGGCGGGCGCCTCTCTCTTGGTGGCCGGGCTGTAGCGCTGCAGCTCGTTCAGCATGGACTGCAAAGTCTCCAGCTCTTGCTGGCCGAGGTCGCTTTCTTCGGGGCCCCTGTTCTCCTGCTCCTCCTGCGGAGGGCGCTGGTCTTTGCCGGCTCTCCAGCCCTCCTGCTCCTCGGCTGGCCGCTCCTCAGAGCTCCTGCTCTCGCTCCGGACCCTCTCCTCACTGGGGCTGGGCTCGGGGCTCAGAGGCTCAGAGGCGGACTTCTTGGGTGCTGGCTGAAGGGCCTGCAGGAGGATCGCAGCCAAGGTCTTGGGGTCCAGGTCTTGGAAGAGGTCCGCATCGCCACTGTCCTCCTTCTGCACTGCCGTGCTCGGCTCGGCCTCTTGCAGCGGACGCACCTGGATCTCGCTGCCCGGAGCGCTGGCCCCCTTGGGGAAAGCGCGGCCTGGGGGGGCCTCCTCCTCGCCCCTCAGGGAAAGGGGGGCAGCCGCCGCAGGGAGATGCACCTGCATCAGGAGGCAGAACGCGAGGAGCCAAGGCGCTCTGCAGAGTCGCGGGGGCCACAGCATCATGCCGCAGGGAGGGAGGTGCTGTGTGGGGGAGACAGACGGAGGGAGGTCAGAGCTGCTGGAATCCAGGAAGTCACACGCAGGCTGCACCTCGCAGGAGCCCAAGCCCTCCCCTGGAGCCCTGGGGTGTGGCGGGGGGGGGGGCGAGATGGTCTTGGCTCCGGAGCGGCCAGGGCTGCAGGAGAACCTGGGCGGGCCCTGGGCCGGCTCAGGAGCAGCCTGCTCCGCTGAGCGACTTCACGTGCTCCGGGACTGAGGCTTGCCCTGGCGTCGCTCCAGCTGGGCCGCCCGCTCGGGCCGCGTCTTGCTCATGGCACCCTCCCCTGCCCCTCTCACCCCGAGGCCCAGCAGCCCGGCGCTGCTCGCTAGGGCCGGGCCGGGCCGGGCCGGGCCAGGCGCCCTCGATGGCTCCGCCGTCGCCTCGGGGCCGCCTCCTGGACGTGGCCTTCCCCTCGCGGGGCGACCCTTCCTTGACGCGCGTCTCAGTGCGCATGCCCTCCCGGGACTGGCGTGGCGAACACCCCGCGCAGCAGCCCTGCTGCTCGGGCGGGCGGGGGGGCGCCGGAGGGGGTTTCCGCGCGCGCACGTCCCTTGCCCGCAGCCGCGCACCGGAGGAAGCGCGCTTCCGGGCAAGCGGCTGCTTTCGCGCAGACGGCGCTCCCCCCGTGTCGTCACTGTTCTTGCTTCTTCTTCTTCTTTTTTTTAAGGAACCTCAACTATGAATTCTCTTTTGTCTAAATCCTGTGGCGGAAGGGAAGCGCCGGTGCCCCTGGATCCTCCCCTCCGTCCACGTAGGTGAGCCGCCCCTCTCCCCCGCAGGTGAGCCCACCTCACAGAGTGGGCGAGGGGGCGTCCTGGCTAAGGATTTCATACGGGGCATCTATGGGATCGCGCTTGTCGCCCCCCCCCCCCCGCCACCAGCTCATAAAGAAGCACCGCTTCCTTCGCCTGGCTACAACCCCCCGCCCGCCCCGTTCTGCGGTTCTCTCCCAGCGGCAGCGCGATGGCACAGCTGGTCATTCGGGGGGGAAGGGGGGCGAAGTGGAGCCTTTCTCTCGAGGCGAGCTGAAGCGGAGGACCTGCTCCTCCCGCCCCTCTCTGCAGTCCCCACACCCACCGCCCACACATGCAGGGGAATGATTGGCAGCCTCGGCCGCCACTGCCACCGCCTCCCCGAGACCCCCCCCCCGCAAGCCGACTCCCCTCCCGCCTCAGCGAGAGCCGCCTCCCCCGAACTCGCTGACCTCACTCCTCCAACGCCCTTCCAAGAGCCGAATCCCACCCGCGGGGGTCCATTTCGAGCCGCTGAGCAGCCCTTGCCCCGCCCGGTTTGGAGCGGCCCCCCCCCCCCCCCCCCTTCCTCCCCGTTTCCCCCCACCCCCCCCCCCCCCCGGCCCCCCCCCCCCCCCGCAAGGGAAGGACGCTCACGGGGCCCCCGCGGAGAGCCGCCCCGTGCGAGGCAGCGCCTACTCCTGCCCCCTCCCCGATTAGAGCGCGGCCGCGAACTCCTCCAGGCGCGATTCTGCCTTCAGACCCGGAGGAGCGGCGGCTCCCCCCGAGCGGCCACGCGGCAGGAGCGCTCCCCCCGCGCAGAGGGGTCTCCCTCCGCGCACACGCCCTCCCGCGTCAGCCGCCATTGCTCGTCCCTCCCCGGGACCGGTTCCAGGGGACCGCCCTGCGGAGGGACGGGAGGTCCGCCCCGACGGGCTCGCCCCTGCCCCGCCACCGGCGCCCTGGCGGCGAGGCCCTTCTGCCTTCGCGGCCGCCGCGGCGGGGCGGGCCGGGCCGGGCCGGCGGCGAGGAGGGGTCGAGGCTGCGCTCTCCCCGGCCTGGTCGCCGGGAGGGGTGCCCCGCCCGCCCCCCGCCCTGGGGGTTACCGGCTGCGAGGCGAGGCTCGGGGTCCGCCGCGCGGCTCCGTCGGTCTGCGCGGCTGTCGCTGCTTCTCCGCGCGGGCGCCGCGCCGCGCTGCGCCGGGCCGGGCCGGGCCGGGCCGGGCTGGGCTGGGCTGGGCTGGGCTGGGCTGCCGTTCAGAACCTTGGACAGAGGCTGGGCTGGAGCGCCGCTTTTGTACCTCCAGCCAGGCCCACGTGGGGGGCCCCATTGACGTCAATGTTCATTCATAAATTCGAGCACGATTGGAGGGGAGCCCCGCGCCTGCGCAGGAGGGAATCGGCCCTGGAGTGAGTGAGTGAGTGAGTGAGTGAGTGAGTGAGTGAGTGAGTGAGTGAGTGAATGGCTGGCTGGCTGGCTGGCTGGCTGGCTGGCTGGCTGGGTGGATGGATGGATGGATGGAGGCGAGTGAATGGAGCCGAGTGTAGCGGGTGAATGGGGCCGGAGGAGAAGGGGAGCGGGCGATTATGAATGAACGGCGGGAGACGACGGAGCCCGAGCGATGGGGAGAAAGCGGTGCCTCGAGGGCTCGGGAGGCCTCGGGGGTTTCCCAGAGCCCAAGGCCGGGCTGCGCGGCCGTGAGCGCGCAGGCACCGGGGCCTTTGCTCCCGCTGGATCCCGCCCTGCGGAGACGCGCAGAGCGTGTCCTGCGGAATCGCTCCCTCCGTGCCCGCTCTGTGGGGCTCCGGGGCTGGGAGCTCTCCGGGGGGAAGCACCGGGGGCCGCTGCGCGGGAGCGGCCGCTCCGGTGTGCGGCGCTGGCGGTGTCTTTGCGTGCGCTCCGCATCGCGCGCACCTCGCACGAGCCTCCACACGGGCCGCCCGTTCGGAGTCCGCTTTGCTGCCTGCGTGTGCGTGTGAATGGACCCTGCCCATTGGCTCCGCGCCCCCTTCCCACGCACAGTTCCCCTGGAGGCACGGGCTGCGGGAAGCGAGACCCCCACTCAGCCGCCTCGCCGTCCACGTCGCCCCTCGTCGCGGCACCGCTGCTTCCCCCGCCACTCGCCCCACACGCCTGCCGGCATTCCGGGGCTTCTCTGCACTCCCCTCCGCCTGCGGGCCCCTCCTCGCCGGCTCGCCGGCCCTTCAGGAGAGCCGGACCGCGGCTCCACCGGGCCCCGGCGCTGGGGGTGCCGTCAGGGCATCGCTAGGGCGCTCCGGACTGAGGGAGAGCAGGACGGGGGTGGGGGGGCGATGAGTCACCCGCAGCTCTCTCCGCAGTCCTTCGCCTTCCCCCTCCCCTTCTGGAGGAGGGAGGGAGGGAGGGAGGCGGCGGGAGGGGCCACTGCGATCGCTTTTTGGGGCTGTTTGGCAAATGGGGGGGGAGCATAACACGGGAATCGTGCCCCCCCCCCCTTTTCCCCCCCCCCCCGCTCGTCGGTCGTGCTTTCTTCCATGGTGGTGCCAGTGGGATGCTGGGTGCAGCAACCGGGGCTCGGGGGGGGGGGGGGCCAGGGCTGGGGACGAGCCGCCAAAGCCGAGGCGCCGCCATCGCCCCGCTGCTCCAGCCGCACTCGCGCCGACCCGGGCTGCAGCAGCAAAGCCATTTTGCGCCCCGCTTCCTGCCCACGCGAGGGGTGGAGTGGCTGCAGCCCCCTCACCCCCAGCCCAATCCCAGGGGAGGGGGACCCTGCAGCCGCGCAGGTGCTTGGCGACACCCTGGCTCCAAGCTGCACGTCCGAATAGTATCATGAGGCACATCTGGCAGGGAAACGTGCGTCTGGCCGTCTTTGCGAAAAGCCGTCAGGGCAGCGCTCAACAAGTGAAAACGGGGCTTCGTGCGGAGTCCGCAGCCTCGGCGCAAGAACCCGGGTCGCTCTCGCACCCGCGGGAGCTCTCTCTCGGGGCAGCGTGCGAACAGCTGCGAGACGCTGCTGCTGCTCCACCACCCTGCGCGCCCTTCCGTGCTGCCTGACAAAGGCTCGCAAAGGCAAGCGGGTTAAGACGACCAATTCCTGCGGGGCCAAGTACAGATCCGACGCCGGGGACACTTCAGAGGGCTGGGACGACTGTCTCCCCGCTGCTCTGCAGGGGCGCAAGTCTCCCGAAAGATCCCTGCTATTTGGCTGCCTGCTTGTGGCGGTTGCAGCTCCCACAGGCGACCGGGGTGGATCACGAGGGGCGCCCCCCCCGAGAGGCTGTGCCGCGCCCCAGGGGTGCTCCTGGCATCCTGGAGCCAAAGAGCCCCCCAGGCACGGAAGCCTTCCTCCTGCCTGCGCCCTCCAGATGCCTCCGGCCCTGAGCTGCCAGGGAGGGGCCTGCAGGCAGCTGAAGTCCGAGACATCCGTCGGGTTGGCTCCAGAAGGGGTGCTGGGGACCCCATTGACATCTGGCATCCCAGAGGGCTCTGCCTTGCCCCCCGAGTCCCTTCCACCCTATTTTAAGGTCTTGCTATGCCTTTGACTCATTCAAGTTTTCACTGTACCCGTTGCAAGGAAAGGAGAGCCCTGCCGGATCAGAGCAGGATCAGAGCAGCAGTCCACGCCGCCGATCCCTCTTCTGTTCTCACAGGGGCCCCCCAGCGGCTCCTGGGAGCCCCCAGGCGGGGCAGGCCTGCCGCTGCCCTCCCACCACGCTCCCCTTCAGCCAGTGCACCTGGCATTGCTCGCAAAAAGGTGGCACAGCATGTAGTGGCGGCCACCTGCTTGGGGGGTCCAAAGGGGATTCGGCACATGCGAGGGAGGGGCAGTCATCCATGGCTGCCTGCAGCCTCCGGGCCAGCAGCGTTCTGACTCTGCACCGGTGGCTGGGAACGCAGGCCACGCCGCCGGGTCCGTGCTCCTGCCCGCGGGCTTCGCAGGAACACGGGGAGCTGCCTTCCACCGAGTGCCCCCCCCCAGGCCATCTAGGCTCGTCCTGTGCTCAGAGCTCCAAATGCGAGTGCCCCCCCCCACCCATATTCATACATCATCCAGCTCGTGCCCGTGCCTGTCCCCTCCCAGCTCCCATGTCTCCCAGAGTGAAGCAGCGGGTAGAGGAAAGCTGCACACCGAGGCAGAGCAAGGCAGAAGGGGCTTCTCGGCCATCTAGTCTGACCCCCATGTCTCAGGAGCTTCCCGGGTCTCCTGTCTGACTGCTGCTGGCTTTCCGTAGGCTTCCCACATAAAACATAATTCTGTGTGCACAGAATGAGCGGCAGCTGCAGGTCTCCGTGGCCCTGGGTGCAAGTGGAGCTGAGGAGCCCCTGAAGACGCCCCCCCCCCGGCCCAGTCCTGCCCGGCCCGGCCCAGTGGGACTTCCTGCACGCAGAGCAGGGCTCTTTCCAGGAGCTGCTGCCCTTCCTCCTCACTGGGGCTCGCTGGTAGCTGCCATGCCAGCAAATGCCAGCCCTTTGGACGGACCTGGCGCGGCTCTTCTGGTGTTCTCATGCCAGGGAGGGCCTCCTGGCACAGAGGGGAAAGGGCTGGAGCGCCGCCAGGCTGCCTCGAGGAAGGAGTGCCAGGGGAGTGCCCGGCCGTGGCATTAGCATCATCGTCGTGCAGAAGGTGGGAAGGGGCAACTGGGCTGCGGGGAAGGCAGAGGGGGGGCCACGGGGGCTCGAAGCCTGGTGCCAGGGGGTCGGGGCTGGCATCCGGGGGCACAAACAGCCTCTCCCTCGGCTCTGCTCCCAGCCACATCCCCTCCTGCGCAGCAGCAGTGTCTGCTCTGGCCGGCCGGCCGGCTACAAGTGCCGCGCTCGCATGCACACATGCACCCCCCCCCCGCACCCCTTCCCTGGCCGTTTGCCATCCGCTCACCTGGTAGATTAGCAGCTCCCTCAGGGGGCTAATGCCGGATTTCCGGGCTGTCAGAGCTTAGATGGATGCCCAGTGAGTCAGTCTTGCAGCAGAAACCTCTGACAGTACGAATGAATCAAGAGGGCCGCATCCTGCCGGGTGTAAAGCCAGGCCTGAGCCTGCAGCTCAGTCTGCTCTTCAGCCACACTAGAGGACTCCAGGCCCACGGTGAAGAGGGGCCCTGCCTGCGGACTGAGGGGGAGGGGCCGCCCCACAGACTGCAGGCAGCCCCCACCCCCAGAAGCCCTGGGGCTCCGCGAAGTGCTCCGCAGGGCGGAGGGGCAGGCAGAGCCAGCTGGAGGAAGCAAGGGCCGGTGTGATGGCTCAGCTGGCTCCCTTCCTTCTTCTTGGGGAGGCCTGCCTCCCCCCCCCCCGCTTTGCAGGGCCCCTGCACCCCCCCGCTCCGCAAAGGACCCTGCTCTGGCAAAGAAGGAGACCGGAGGCGGAAAGCCAGCCCACGGGCACCGGCCTCTCCTCCACGGCGTTCCCCTGGAGGACCCGTCCCAGCACGGTCTCCTCCCGTGCACGCCAGCCCTGCGAGGTGTCTGCCTGCCTTCCTCACCACCGGTGCCCGGGACCACGACACTTGTGGGGTGGGCAGGGCACTGGGGCCGGAGGGGGTGGGCCCCCTGCCCCCCCATGCCTTCCAGAGCCTCCCCAGCCCTTCCGCACTGCCAGGGCCACCCCCTTCCGCACCTCTCCAGGTGGGGCCGGGGGGGGGTCAGCGCCTGCACAGCTTGGACCTTCCTCCCCGCAGCCTCCACTCCTAAAAAGCCAGGACGCAAAAGAGCTCATGGCCCCCCCACAGAGAGAGCCACGTCCGGACAAGGGACCCGTGCCTCTCTGGGGAAGGGCCTGGGGCCTCCTGCTGCCAGAAGCAGCGTCCAAGGGGCCTCCTGCAGCCGCCCCTCCGGGCCCACTGGCTAAAGGCCTGCTGCTCGGCTCCGTCCCAGCAGTCACTCCCGACCGCAGGCCGGCCAGTGGGCCCTGCCCCCCGAGAGCATCCCCCCCCCCCCCGCCCCCCCCCCCTCCCAGGCACCCCCCCGCCAGCTCACCCCCCACCTCTCTGGCCCGCCTGCCTGCCCCTCACGCCACCCATTCCCTGCGCGGAGCGTTGCCTCAGCCCCCACATCCTGGCACGAGGCCACCTGACCACCGCCCGCCCCTTCACCCCTGTGTCTGCCCCTTCCTCGTGCTCCCGCTCCCCATCGTCCAGCACCCCGACCTTGCTTGCCCATGAGCCCCATCTGTGGGGCACGCGTGTGTGCCGGGGACACGCCACCAGCCCCACAGGAAGGATTCCTTGCGAGTAAATCCACTGTGATCTTGCACCCAGCAGGAATAACAAACCTCAGTGAAGGGTATTTATGGAACAACAGGCATAAATGAGAGCATGAGTCAGAGGCTGGTGCGGGGGGGGGGGGGGTTCTCCTCTTGTTGCCCCCATCTCAAGAGGAGGGGGAGGGGCCGCCCCTCACCGGGCCCCCTCTTTCTGCCCCTTTTCCGGGGGGGGGGGGTCACACCTTTTCCCCCCCCCCCCCCATGCTCTGCACAGGGGGAGGGCCAGGTGGGAGGCCTCGAACAGTTCAGCGGAGATCTTCCAGTGGGAGCAGGGAGAGCGCGGCCGAGGGACCCTGGGCTCCAGCAAGGCCCACGTGCCCTTGGGGGTTGTGGCTGGGCCCCCAGGCATCACCTGCCCCGAAGGGAGCCTTCGGACTTTGCCTGTGGGCCTCTGTGATGGGGGGGGGCCGGGGGGAGGAGAGAGCACACCTGGTGGAGCTGCGGGGGGGGGGGGCTTTGGGGCCGGGGGGGGGGGACACGTTGTGCTCTCCTCTGGCAGCACCTGGAAGGCGGGGCCCTTGTGCAAGGGCGGATCCTGTCCATCTGGCCCAGCCCTGTTTCCTCTGGGGGGTGGTGGGAGGTGCTCCTACGCCAGCTCTGGCAGAGAGGGGGCTTCCCCACCGGGAAAAGTGGGGCTGTTTCCCTGCAGAGCCCGGGATCATAGGAACACAGAAACAGAGTGAGGCAGAAGGGACCTCCTGGGCCATCTAGTCTGACCCACTGGCTCCACTCATGACAGTACTTCTCAGCATCCACATTGGACCTTTTGTTCCCTGAGCTTGGCTCCGTGGGAGCGCGTCCTGCCTTCCTCCGCAGGGGAGAACAGGTCTCTGCCCCCCTCCGTGTGACGCCCCCTCACACACCTGTGTGTCGCCCACAGACCCCCTCGGAGTCTCCTCTCCTCCAGGCTGGAGAGACCCCGTTCCCTCTGTCTCGCCTCATCCCCTGCAATCCGGCCACCATCCCTGTGGCCCCGCGCTGCGCTTTCTCCCATCATCCCAAGCCCTGCTCCGCTCCAGGGAACCCTGGGATCCAGCTTGTGAGCGGGTCTTTTCAGGGCCGCTCCCAAAGACTGGAATGCCAACCCTAAAGGCATCCGCCTGGGGCCGACTTTGCCAACTTTTCATTGCCAGGGAAAGGCATTGTCATTCTTCTTGTCATGCGCCACTCTTCGAACGACTATTTGCCTCATCGAGGCCACGGTCCGGATCACGTGCAGGCGCTTGATCAGCGGCTCCGCTTGATTTCAGCCAGCGCGTTGCCCTGTGGGCTCTGCGCTGGCACTCGGGTGACTCATGAACTGGATAAAAAGTTAGCATCAAATAAAGAAGGCTGCAGTGGCTTCTGAGAAGGGGCCGCCGGGCATCCAGCCTGGCATTCCTCCACTGACCGGGTGGGGTGAGGAAGGGGGTGGATGATAGGCTCGGAGGTGGCCTGGAGGACCTCTGCGCCCCCGAAGCCCAGGGGAGGCCCCGCAGCTAAAGTGCCCCAGTGCTCTGCCCCCTGGCAGCACCCCCACCCAGCGCTCACCCTGGCGGCCAGCCTGTCCCGTGCATCTGCTTCGGGGGTGGGGGGCCCTGGATCTGTGGGTGTCGCTCCTCACCTGCATGTCCAAAGCAGCCAGGGCCAGAGCATGGAGGCCCGCCCGGGACGTGGGGAGAGGGACCGTGCCCCCCCCGCCATCCCCACTGGAAGGAGGGAAGGGCCGCCCCACAGGCGAGGGGCAGGGGCTGCCTGCTCCGGCCTCTGCTGAGGAGAGCGCTCCCATCGCTGATGCGACGCCCCTGCGCCTCCCCCTCTGCAGGGCGGGGGGCTGTGACTCAGAGCAGGAGCAGGGCAGCGGCGGCGCTGGGAAGAGGATGAGGCATCCTCTCTGGTTAATTAGCCATGGCTTATGGCCCTTTGGGGGGGGCGGGGGCGGGGGCGGGGGTGGGAGGCTCTGGGCCCAGCCCTGCTCAGGCAGCTCGGGAGTCCGGGAGCCGGCAGCCGGTGGGGCCCTGCACAGGCCCGCCTGCCAGCAGGGCAGAGGGCAGCCAGGTAAGGGAGAGGCCCCTCTCGGCCCCTCCCTCTGCTGCCCCATCCAGCCTGGCCGGAGCATCGCCCTCACCCCAGCAGGAGGGCAGCGCAGGGATGGGATCCGTGCAGCCGTCCCCGGGGCTCCAGGAGGAGCAGGAGGCCTTCTGCAGAGGGTTAGGGCCAGGCCTCAGCAGCGCGGATCCCAGGGAGCTGCCAGCGGGATGGGCGTCCACGGGGCTCGCCTCTGGCGCCTCCTTTCTGGTCCCTTCCCCAGCCTGGTGCTCCCAGATGTGCTGAGCCGCGACCCCTGCCCTTCCTGTCCCCTGGACCTGCTGGCCGGAGCTGCTTGAAAACATCCGGAAGGCCCCAGGTTGGGGGAAACGCCTGGAATGC